AGGGAAGAAAGCCCTCATTTAGTGGTCCCCAAGTTAAACACAAATATCACTGGGAGACATCCCACTTAAGCCTGAACTGGCAGACATCTGAAAAGGCTACTCTCGAGTCATGAGGGAAGGCAGGTCCCACAGAAAGCAGCACATTGATAGGGAGCTGGGGAGGACCCAGACAAAGAAAATGCCACTTGATAATTACTTAACATTTCTCTTTTACCATAGAACACTGAAATACTTTGTAAATTTCCACATTATTGGACCTTTTTATAATCAAGAATTCACAATCTATTATATAATGTGTCACAGTTTGCCTACAATTTACTGCTCTATCTCCCTCTAGGATAGATAATAAAATGTGTACTATGTTGTTACGTTGGTGCAAAGAATGTAAAAAAATAATAAAGATATGTTATTATCACCTGATTTGAAGACTATAGCTTTCTTTTACTTTCCTATTTAAAAAAATCACAGATATATTCTTTTTGGATTTAATACTCTAACACATTTGCGTTTCTCCAGAATAAAAACGAAATAGTTTTGTGGTGTTATTTGGCTGTCATTGATATCATTACTTGGCTGCACTGGGTAGATTATTCAGTGAAATAAAACTTGTCTGACAATTTTAGGACAGGATTTGCAACCCTGCTTGGTAAACATAGCTCAGAAATCATTCTTCTCTGCTGGGAATTTGTTAACAGAAAGTCAGTGCATAAAAATGTAGTTTTAACTAAAACCAATTATGCCACGTCTTCCATGGCCTGCCCTCTTGAGCATATAATGTCCCATTACAACTCATGCATAATGAAGATTATTTGCGTCATTATGCAGTCGACAGACCACGTCGCCCACAGTGGTCATAATCTGTCTTAAAGCAGAGAGGAAGGGGAGCTTTGTGGTTTTCCCCTTCCTTCAGTTTGTACCACAGACCACCACCGGACTCAGGAGCTTACATCCAGGTTCTTTACATCACACGACATCTAGCCTCACAAATGCAGCTGACTACTGAAGGACTTAAAGGAATAATTTTTTTTTTGGATAGTGATAGGTGGTTAAAGAAGTTTAAGGTTTTTGAGGCCTTGATCCTGGCATAGAATCTAGAAAACAGGGTTTAGTGCGTGGAACTGGAACGGAGACGAGGGAATTTTTCAGTCTGGGGATGTTTGCTGCCAAAAATGTTTTGTCAGCCTCTTCACCTCAGTTATGACAACAAGCTCTGCTCAAACGAAAAGGATCGCTTGGATATGTACATTCTTTGCTTTTCTCCTTCGTGTAGAGGGGATATTGGAAAGCAATGGGAGCAAGTGCTGTGAAAATCAAGTTGTTTAAATAGGAAGGTGAATGGTTTTTTTCCTCTTCTAATCTTAATTTACAAAATGAGTTTCCTATAAGAACACCCTGGAGGCTGTCTTGGTGTCAGTGAAGACCTAAAGCATTTGTCTGAGAGAAATTGGAAGTTAAATTTTGCCATCTTTATTCTGTTTCTCTTATCAGTAAACCAATATTTATTGACCAATGATCAACAGAAGCAAGACACTGTGCTATGCACCTGTGGAGATACAATTCCTGCCTCCAGAGAATGGCCACTTTCATTAAGGAGCATGGAGGTGAAGATGGGGCAGAGTATCTTACACCTGTCTCCTCCATTTACGTGGTCCCTTGCCTTGACCTCCCTACATACAACCTATTGGTGCTCAGAAAGCAGACAGTAACCTTAGAGATGAAGAAAGTGAGATCCAAAAAGGCAGTCACTTTTTTCAGAGACACACATCGAGTAAAAGTCGAGGTTACAATCAACCACAGGTCTTCCTTAAACCATTTGCTCATCACATCAGGCTTTTCAGAGCACTAGCCAGATGTCTTCCTAGTTTCATTCAAGCCATTCCTGACTTGCAGTTATCTGAAATTTCCCAAGCGCTTGTAGGAAAGAACGCCTAGGGTTGCGAGTGGCTACGGTTCCAGTCTTCCCAAGGAAACTACGCCAATTTCCTTTAGACAGACTGCAAAGATGAGAGGGGAGGGGAAAAAGGCAAAGATCTGAGGATGTCTGAATTCTTCAATCCTGCTGTCCCCGACACTGGCTCCACCCCTACCCTTTCTGCTGTTTAGTTACATGAAGGATAAATTCCCCATTTTTGCTTAAGCTGGTTTAAACAGGGTTTCTGTGTCTTGCAATAGAAAGAGTCCTAATAAAATCATGTTTTGCATAAATTTTTTTCCTGTGTAATAGAAAAAAGAGGTAGGACATTTCTCTTCCACTTAGCCTTTCCTTTCTAGGAATGGAGCATCTTAACTTTTACGTGTGTGCATACAGAATGTTTGTGTAAATCGAGGGAAAAATGTGGAAGGAAGTCAACATGGGTTACAATGAGAGGAAGAGGTGAACTTTTTCTTTATAAATTTTCTGTTTCATGTTACATTTGTTCTTAAAATTTTAATAAAGAAAATAAAGCAATTACAAAGCCCAAAGTGGCCCATCTCTCCTTTTTCTAGCTCACATCCCAACACATGCATGTAACGCTTTCCTTAAATATTGACGCCGATTTACTCCTAGTTTACATTTTGTTTCTATATTTAATACTGCACAGAGCACAAAAGAGGGGATTTCACAGCTTTGTAAAAAAATTGATGAGGAAAGAAAGCAGCAGTGGAGCAGCACCTGGAGGCAAAAAATGTTAGCATTCAACTGAACTTTTATGACAAAAGCCCAAGGGAGGTGTCCTGGGAGAGGCCTACCAGCAGCTGTTTCTTTAATAAAAATTGGGGAGTTCTGAGAATTTTCCACAGACCTATATTGTTTCCACTGTGTCACAGAGTTTAATAAACAATTCCCCTATTCTGAGAAGATGATTCTCTCTCAAAACACTAAAATGTACTCATATATTCTGTTTGAAAGCAAAGTGAAATGAGTTCCGGATGTTACCCACACAGGTCAACGTTCCCATCTATTTAAAGGTGAAGTATCAGATCCTTCCCCAACTATGAAGATGTACTTTTCTACTAAAAGGGAAAAGAAAAAATGTTGTTCAGAAAAAAGTAATATATGTAATTTGTTAATTTTTTATCTTAAATTTTTTTCAGACATTAATGCCTTCTGTCAGAGTAGAGACGGACAGACTGGCGGTGATATAGAATTGGGGATGAATCTACTTGTCTGTACAGAATAGGAAGTTGAAAAAATGGACTCAGATTCTGATCCTTTAGGAAAAGGTCACTGGTTAACTGTGTGCACTAGATTGAGGCCAGAGGAGACAAATATTGAGCAATACAATTTTCACATTCTTGCTATAAAAATGTCATTGGCTAAAATGATGATCATCAATCCCATTACTAAAAAGTATTAATCACTAGGTTAGCCAAGTGCTTTCATTTATAAAGCATTTATCTCAAAGGAGAGTAAGTGCAGTAACTTGAGATTTGACTTTCTGTGGAAGATTAGCAAATCTGATAAACCCATCTTCTCAGAGAAGATTGCTCCTAATTACATTAATTTGATGATGACATAAAAAACCACTGATTGTGGCTGAGGTCAAGGATCTTGTCTTATTCATCTCTTCATATCCTTGTATCCCCACAGCGTAGCTCCCCAGTACTTAGGAGCGCAATATTTCTTGGAAAAAAATCTTTGTGTTGTTCTTGCCTCTTCCATCTTTCATCTAGCAATATTTATTCCTGTTCACCTAAAAGAATTCTGATTTTGTTGGGTGTGGCAATGTGCCCAGCTACAAGAAGCAAATTTCCAAGTCTCCTTTGCATGTCGAGTTAACAGTGTGACTATCTTCCTGTCATATTTTTTGACGAGTGCTTTGGGGCGAATTAAAAAATGGGGCTGGCCTAGTTTGCATGCATCTTTTTGCTCTCCCCTCTTCTTGCCTGAGACATAATACCCAGAGCTGCAGTGAACATCTTTCTACCATGAAGTGATTTTGAGGATGGAAGCAAGATGTTATGGAAGAAAGAGCAGCAAGATAGCTCCCGGGACACTGATGCCATCATGGAATTGCCATATCAGCCTTGACCCGCCTATCTCCAAGCTTTTGTTTCTGTTGTTATGTGACACAACTTAACTCCTACCTGATTTAAGTCACTGCCTTGTTAAGCCTCTTTTACTAAGAGCGAAAAACAGTTCCTGGCTACATTCATGTTAGTGATTAGGATGAAGACACAGAAGGCATGCTCACATCTACTGAAGACAAAAGAAATGACCAGTATGTTGAATGTCAGAAATGAAACATGATTAAAAATCTCAGTCAAACTTCGTTCAGAACAAGTCAGGCGAAATGGAACAAGTAATCATTCTGCATTAAGATTTAAAATTTTAATATGATCTCAGGATTGATACCAGTTCACAATATAAAGTCCTTGGAGTTTTACCTGTCCATCACCTTACCATGAGCAAAGCATAGTGTGAGACTATCAGAAAAAAAGTTAATTTAATCCTGTGTGAGCAGAAGTTTGTGTCCAGACTATAGGGAATGATTTTCCCGAAGCTTGAAAGGCAAATAGCTTATTTCGTGTTCCAAGGTTTTAGAACCAGGACCAATGGGTGAAAATCAAAGAGATAAAGATTTTTACCTATTACAGAAATGCTCTATTAATTTGAATTGCCTCACAATGAAATGACTGCCTGACAAGGTAGCGAGATCCCTAACACTGAAAGAAATGATCAAGAATATTCCTGGATTGTATGGGAGGTACAGCTAGATGACCTCCAAATTTCCTTTTGTCTCACCAAGAGCCTATGGTTCTCATACTTAGAATATATATATA